AACTGAATAATGACCAAATAAAAACCTAACAACTTTCCAAATAAAGACAAAAAAACAATGTTCAAATAATGACATCAAGCTAATTTTGGCCGTATTCTCACCCCATACTGTGTCGTCATTAATTATCAAGAATATAGTCCAACTTTATCATTTCGTGTCTTGAGGCCTTTTATTTCGTTCTATTTCCATGTTTCTATTGTGTAATATTTTTTGACTATTTCGTAATAGTTAATAATTAGAAATCACGTTATTCTTGATACTCCCATCCCCGCCAGCTACGTTTTTTTTCTCGAAAAGAAACATTTACCAAGATATAAGAAGTTCGGGGCGAGTTTGTTTATATGTTCGTACATGTACTTGTAACTTCAATTACTTACATTCAGGTGTTTTCACTGCATGGTGGACATAATTGTATGCCAGGAATTTTGATTGAGCATGTCCTAACCACTGTAAGAGCGCATTCACTACAAGTTATTTCAAGCTGTCTTTTTTGACGGGGGCAGTAAGACTAACAGCTGCGAGGCGCATTCACCAAGTTGCGAGTTCGAATCCTCATTGAAAAATACAAGCTGCACATTAAATTAGTAATATATTACGTAATACCCCTAAATTACATGTGCGTTTTTGTCCAATTGTTGGAATAATTTAATACATTGTTCTGAAAAAAATACAAGGTGGGCTATTAAAAACGAAAGTTTCATCAACCTCTTATTACATTAAGTTAGTAATATATTAAGTAATACCCTTAAATTACATGTACGTTACTGTCCAAATGTTGGAATAAGTTAATACATTGTTCTGAAAGGGCATTTAAAATACTACAAAAAATTAGATCATTCATTTTGATATAATCACAAATACATAACCTTCTAATAGCTATTTTATGGAATCAATCCTGTACGATATTGCAAAATAGTTGCCTTATTAGAAGATATGTCGCTGTCCTAAGTTTTGCGTTACTAAACATTTAAACAGTCTGCAGATGAAATACGTTATGCTCTAAAAATAAGACTAATGTCCCAAGTTATATTTTGGTTATCCTATAATGCATTTATAAAGGGAGAATATGAGAACTAATCTACAAAAGAACAAATATTGTCACAAATTGTGTTAGCTATTCGTTACAATATACGTAGATGAAACAGTTGCACGTTACTATGAGAGAGAACTGGGGGCAAAATATAAAGAAATTAACTATTTAATTTTTTTAATACCCGTATTACGCTAGATTGGTTTGGGTTATGTAACTATCTTGTGGTTGTAACAATGTGGCAAGATACTTAATTTAAACGGTTGCGCTAGTTGTTTATCGACTGTGTTTATAAGAAAGCGGTAATCGTACAACCAAGTAAGTTGGCATAAATCTATTATATCTCGCGCATTTGATTTAGCTGGAATGTATGTATAATTCAGCAACGTAATATTCCATTAAAGTTGATCGATTGTGAACAAACGAACGTCTACGAATTTATTTATT